CCTCCCATGAGCTTCAGGTAGAACTAGGTGGCTTTCCGGAGTCTCTCTTTCCTGACTCTATTGCTCCTGGCCAGTGAAGCAGCATGTGCTGGGGCTGCAGCTCTTATTGAGCACCTGTTTTGTTTTTCTTTTTGACATACCTCCCGTACAAAGAGTGGGTGCTCTCTCTCCTTGCTGCTGACAATGGCATCAAGGCACAGAGAGCTCAGGGGCCTTGTCCACTGTTTCATAGTCAGTCAGCGGTATGATTAGAGCTCACACTCAGGTCTGTGTGTCTCTGAAGCTCAGACTCTGTCACGGCACTTCTTTGAATTGCTCGGACCAAGCCACTGTCTTGCCATCTGGTCCAAACTTTACACATGCCACTTCTTTCTCTCTCTACACCAACTTTATCAAAATAAGAAAGCTGATTAGACATCTGTAGATCTTCCAGCTGTCTGGAATTAAGAAGGTAGAGGCCCAAGGGCAACAGTCTTTGGGGTGTGCTGGGACTTCCTGGCTTGTTTTGCATTCTGAGAACCTCCTTGCCCTTTTCATTGAGAGGGCTGAGATGAATCTTCAGGTATGAAGGTTGGTGGGCACTTTGCATGGTGACCTGATTCCCCAGATAGCCCTAGGCACCTGGTCACCAATATAATTGTGGATTGAAGCCTGGTGAAAGAAGAGACCTCAGAGATTCTCTTGTCCAACTCCCTCAGCTTACACACAGGTAAGCTGTGTTCCAAAACTGATGTGGCGGCTTGAACTCCAGTACAGGGTCCACTTAGCTTCCATCCAATGATTAAATTCCAAAGTTATTATACAAAATAGACTTCCTTTCCAGGAGAGATGTCCCCGACCGCTTTCCGTCTCGCCAGCAAGAACGTTAGGAGAAAGGCAGATAACCACACCCTAAAGTGACTTTTCCAAGCAGAGTAGGGAGCACATTCTCCTTTCTTCCTGTGGCCACTTTTGCTGTAACAGAAGCATCCAGGGCCGTTGTTCCTCCCATGAGCTTCAGGTAGAACTAGGTGGCTTTCCGGAGTCTCTCTTTCCTGACTCTATTGCTCCTGGCCAGTGAAGCAGCATGTGCTGGGGCTGCAGCTCTTATTGAGCACCTGTTTTGTTTTTCTTTTTGACATACCTCCCGTACAAAGAGTGGGTGCTCTCTCTCCTTGCTGCTGACAATGGCATCAAGGCACAGAGAGCTCAGGGGCCTTGTCCACTGTTTCATAGTCAGTCAGCGGTATGATTAGAGCTCACACTCAGGTCTGTGTGTCTCTGAAGCTCAGACTCTGTCACGGCACTTCTTTGAATTGCTCGGACCAAGCCACTGTCTTGCCATCTGGTCCAAACTTTACACATGCCACTTCTTTCTCTCTCTACACCAACTTTATCAAAATAAGAAAGCTGATTAGACATCTGTAGATCTTCCAGCTGTCTGGAATTAAGAAGGTAGAGGCCCAAGGGCAACAGTCTTTGGGGTGTGCTGGGACTTCCTGGCTTGTTTTGCATTCTGAGAACCTCCTTGCCCTTTTCATTGAGAGGGCTGAGATGAATCTTCAGGTATGAAGGTTGGTGGGCACTTTGCATGGTGACCTGATTCCCCAGATAGCCCTAGGCACCTGGTCACCAATATAATTGTGGATTGAAGCCTGGTGAAAGAAGAGACCTCAGAGATTCTCTTGTCCAACTCCCTCAGCTTACACACAGGTAAGCTGTGTTCCAAAACTGATGTGGCGGCTTGAACTCCAGTACAGGGTCCACTTAGCTTCCATCCAATGATTAAATTCCAAAGTTATTATACAAAATAGACTTCCTTTCCAGGAGAGACATCATGAAAATGGTTATACTGCAAGCAGTGAGTGTTGTGCAGAAATCTCTAGATTCCCAGCCCAGTGCTGGTCCACTCCTGCATCCAACCTTTCAGGAAAAGTTAGCAGGATTCTGGGATGTCAGTAGACATCTGCCAGTTGTGGGAGAGCAAATCCCTGGAGTGTGGGATGCCTCTTTCCCTGGCCTGGCCATGAAGACATCACAAGTGGCTTATCAAAGCCTCTTCTCATCAAGGCTTTAGTACACAGAGCTCCAGCTAGATACTACCAATCAATCAGAGTTAGCACGTATCCTGCACCCTCATAGTCCTGAGGACTGTGGTTTAGGTACACCATCTTATTTAATCCCAGCGAACCTGTGAGGTATGGTTGCTAGGGTTGCCATTATATGGACAAGGACTGAAGTCCAGGGGTCTTGGGCTCACGAGCAATGGAATTAGGACCCTGCCCAGGGGGTGCCTTGTGTGAGCCTCTCACAGACCCCTAAGCACCCCACAGGCCTTGGTTGCATCTAAAACCTCCCACTTCCCCCATGAGACAGCGGCGGTGACATCCTCCCATTTTTCTTTTCCAAAGGAAGGCCGCGCTCCTGAACTTTTCAGCCCACCCCGTGCCTCTCCCCGCAAAGCCACCTCTGCCAGGCCCTGGTCAGTACGAGATTGTGGACTATGAAGGACCCCCCAAGCGTTTCATCTGCAGTGCTTCATTTGTGTCCAACACTAGCCGGTGGCCAGTGGCGTCATCCAAGCCAGGCCTGCCCGGCCCAGGTAGGAGAAATTCAGCCCCAAATCTTCCAAAACTGTTTTGCATTCCAGGGCCATCAAACACTATGAGTTTATAGACTGCTAACAGGCTACAGGGATGAGGGTGAGCTTAGGAGGCCATCAGCCCACAGGTCCAGTATGAAAATGTTTGGTCTCTGAAGGTGAGAGGGCCTTTAGACAAGAGCCAGGCCAGGGATCTGAAGCTGAGGACTGGGGAGGTTCAAGATGTGGAAGGCACAGGCACTGGGTGGTCAGTGAGGGACTGGCTGGGCCGTGGGGCACACAGACATTGTCTTTTCTCTTTTTCTTTTCCGTGTGTGTGTGTGTTTATGCATGCACATGCATGCATATGCAATGTCATATGTGAAGGTCAGAGGACAACCCTCACAAGTCAGTTCTCTCCTTCCACCATGTGGGTCCTGGAGACTGAATTCAGTTTGTCAGGCTTGGCAGCAAGTGCTTCAACCCATTAAATACCTCACTACCCCGCTACCTTTATTTTTTGAGACAGGGTCCCACACCGAACCTGAAGCTCATTAATTCAGCTAGGCTGACTGACAAGTAAGCTTTGGGACTCCATCTGTCTCTGTATCCCCAGTTCTGGGGTTATAGGAATGTGCCACCACCCCTGGCTTTTTTACATGGGTCCTAGGGGTCCAAACTAAGGTCCTCGTGTTTCCACAGCAGGCATTTTACTGAGCCATCTCCCCAAGTCCGAGACATTGTTTTCTAAGGAAAGAGGCCATGGCTTTTATAGGATTCTCAGAAGAGTTCTTGTTCTTAAAGATATTTAAGTCATGCCATGTGTGGTGGCACACATCTTTAATCCTAGCACTCAGGAAGCAGAGGCAGGCAGATCTCTGTGAGTTCGATGCCAGCCTCGTCTACATAGTGAGTTCCAGGACAGCTGAGGCTACAGGGAGACCTTATCTCAAAAAGACACCCCCCAAAAGATATTTAAGTCATTAGTCAAGACTGGCCAAGGTATTTTAAAGACAGGTGAGGTTTGACTTGAAGGGCAAGCTGCCCACAGCTCACTGGGGCATTTGTGGTAGGGCAGAGTCCCCAGGCAGGGTCTCCTGCTGCTGTGTCTTATTTGTGATGACAGACAGTAGAGACAGTCTAAGGAGTGGATCTCTGAGGCCCCCCAGTGCTTATTGCACCTGGTTCTCCCTGACAGCTAATTATCCTGAGGGGGTCACTCTGCAGTGATGGGTGGTCTCCACGTTTTCCCACCCATATGAAGCTCCCCTCAGCTAGTACCACTCCCTGACAAAGGCCAGCTGGTGGCATCTAGAGCTGGCAGGTATGCTGGGTGCATGGTAACAGGAAGGCAGAGCTGAGACGGAAACCAAGTCCATCACACTCAGCCTTTCCGTGAGCACTGGGGATACTCCTGCACTGGGCAGCTGAGGTAACTTAGGCCCCAAAGGCATTAGTCTGGTAAGGGAGGAGACCCCCGCGCCTCTATCCACAGGTAAGGAAATGGTAAGGGACACCGGAGAGGGAGAGGGTTAGGCTCCAAGCTTTGGCCTTGTAAATGTATGACATCAGACCAGTAAGACTGCAGGTTTTCCCCCATGATGGGGTGGGATGGGGTGGCGTGTGTGTGTGTGTGTGTGTGTGTGTGTATGTGTGTGTGCGCGCAGACCAGTTTGTCTACAACAGGAGATCTAGAGACCTGGGGGGGGTGCTCTGGCCGACTCTGCTTGGCCTGGTCCTCTGGGAGTGTTATCTGTCTGAGGCACTTGAGGGGCTCCTGAAGGGCAGACCTCAAGGTACAGCCCAAGCAGGCCATTCCTGCTGCTGTGGTCACCCTCCATGAAAGTGACCTTGAGGGTCTGCTAGTGGGAGGATGCACATGTGGGCCTCTACCTTGGTAGTTTCCTGAGAAGACATGCAAAGGATGCTGGGGCTGTGACTCCCAAGCCTCATCTGCTAGAGAAACATGTCTCTGATGGCTACGGCTTTCACTTTTCTGGAAATTTCTAAACTAAATCATAACAAAACTTGGGTTGGTCATGGTGGTGCGTGCCTTTAATCCTAGCACTCAGGAGGCAGAGGTAGGTGGATCATTCAAGGTCAGTATGGTCTACATATTCAGTTCCAGGCTAGCCAGGGCTATGTAGTAAGATCCTGTCTAAAATAATAATGATAATAGTAATAAGAAAAAAGAGAAAAAAGGAAAGAAAAAGAAAAAAGAAATCTTACCAACCTAATATCTTCAAGAATATAGTTTTACGGGGTTGGAGGGATGGCTCAGGGGTTAAGAGCACTGACTATTCTTGTGGAGGACCCTGGTTCAATTCCCAGTCAGGGGTTCTGACACCTTCTTCTGACCTACGCGGGCATTGCCGGTCTCCCGGCCTTCTTACTCTGCGCCGAGGCCCGGCTCCTCATGCCTTTCTTTCTCTCTCCTCAGCCACATACAAGCCAGAGTTCCCAGGGAAGCAGTCCTTCCTCTACAACGAGGACAACAAATGGATCCCAACAATATAGCAATGCCACAGGAGCTCAGGGAGAAGCCCGGACAGACCCCCACCGACCCCTGCTCTCCAGGACCATTAACAGGAGAACATGTGTTTCCTCTGTGACACCTGGCTAGGGTCACAATCCAACTGACATTGTCTGGAGCTGCCTCTTGGAGATTGCCCACACCGACTGCTCCCGTGCTTTCCTGAGCAGAAGCAGGGGTGGGTAGTGCCCTCTGGCTACTTCCATGCATCCTTCAAACTGACTCTGGTGACTCCCTTCCTCAGAGTTAGGGGATCCTCAAGCATTGACTCTGAAGTAGAGCTCAACCTGTTGCCGAGGCAACCTGTGGCAGATTCCCTGCTTAGAAGACAATCAGCCAGGGCTCTGGGGCCTGGTTCATTGGCCCTGACTTCCGGACTTGCCCTTGACTTCTAAGAGACAGGGAGGTTCAGAGGTGCCTGCAACACAAACACAGGGGTGTTCCTCAGACCCCTCATCCCAAGTGATGGCTTGGTATTGCACAGGAAGACCATGGAGGCCAGTCATAAGTCGCTAACTCCAGAGAGGCTGCCCCATCCATTTACAGGCTCTGTGTTTAACAGCAGGCAAGACAGGACCCAGCTGGAGCCAGATGCCAGAAACTACAGTCCCCACTGTGACCCCTGCCTGTGTGTTCTCGCTTCCCTGACTTTTCCTTTGCCTGGGTCTGGTCTCCATTGTCTCCCTGATTTCCCACTCCAGTGTCAGAGCAAGCCTTGCTCATCAGGTTAAACAGTGTCTCTAACAAATTTTGTCTTGCCTGTCAAATCATTTTTCCCTGGCCAGAAGAAGAGGTGACCAAGAGCCAAGATGAAATTGAACTAGCCACACATCTTCTCTTTCCCTAGACATCTAGGGATGTTTGTGACTTTTCTGATTTGGGAGTCTCTCTGAGCTCCCCTTCCTTCCCCCAGCCCCTGATCCCAATTCCATGATATTCAGGCCTCTCACTTCCCAAGGCCTCTTCCTTGAGATTCTCTGAGAAGAGTACATCCTGGGTCTCCCATCTGAACTGGCTGCCAATTGGCTTTCCTTCTGGGGAGCAGGGTGAGAGGAAGAAGTGGGGGGAAGGACAGAGAAACAAATTCAATTAAACAGAATTCTTGCTTTTCACAGAAGCTGGGCTCTTTGTGAACTTCAGATTTCCCCAAAGGCTGGGGCTCTGGCACAATGAGAGGCAGCCTGGTATACCCCCAGAGGCACAGGGCTGACTGACTTTTTGCTTCTACATGCTCAGGTCCTCTGTTCTTCTCCAAGGGTAGAGCCTGTGTGGAATCAAGACTGCAAGATCTAACACCTTCAGGGCCCAGGCAGGTGATGTATGACACCGGTCAGGTGGAAACTGAAGTCACGACCAACCCACAGCATCCAGCATGGCTCTAGTTAATGCCTGCCAGAGCCATGGGTTTTTCAGGAGAGCCTGGGAAGTATTTCCATCATGAAATCTCCCCGTGAGATGTGGACAAGTATAGCTGAATTCAAAAATCTTATTTGGGTTAAATGAGATTTTTCTGAGCACTCTCAGTCATTTACCTTGGCGCTAGACATTCTAGAAGACCATTCGGAACTGACAAGTTGAAGCTGGACCTGTGCTTGACCACAGACTCTTGACAATAAGGACAGATCAGAAGTGACCCAGGTCAGGGAATTCCAGTCCAGTCATGTGCCTCTGACCCAAGCTTAGCCCAAGCTGGGCTGGAATCCCCTGACTTTGGTCACTTTTGGCAGAGTTGGAGGTCATGTACAGGAAAATCATGAGTCCTGTTCACTCATCCTACTGTTCCAAGTAAAGACTGTCTTTAAGAGGATCAGGAAACAGGCCTTTCCAAGAGGGAGAGATGGACGGGACTAACCTCAAGGGTCCTAATCCACATGCGGCTGCTGGGATGGGCTGAGGCTCTAAGCTCTAGTGGTCTGTCTAAGCTCTAGTGGTCTGTCTTGATGGTCCCCGGACACTTTGAAGATGTCCCAGGGTACTCACAGTTCTGCCTAGCTCAGAGGTCTCAATCCCCAGATGAACTTTAGGCTCACCTGGTACCAGACACAGGCCCCATGCCAGAGTCAGGCCCAGCTCCTGTCTCACAGTTCTGATTCAATTGATCATATGTAGTGTACTCCTTACTTCTCTTGTTACTTGATAAAATATCTGACAGAAGTAACATAAGAAGGGCTTATTTTGGCAGAGTATGAGGGTGCAGTCCATCATGGTGAGGAAGGCACGGTGGCGGGGGTGGTTCTAGTGAGGTGGAAGTAAGTGTAAGATGGCTGGTCACATGCATTCACAGTCAAGAAGCAGAGAGATGACTGCTGGCGCTCAGCTTGCTTCCTCCTTTCCCTCTCTCTAGTCAGTCTGGGCCTCCAGTCCATGGGATGGTGCCTCCCACATTAAGGGTTAAATCTCCTGGGAAACATCCTCACAAACATGCCTAGAGGTGTATGTCCTAGAGGACTCCCAAAGCCAGTCAATGAAGATATCATAGATATCTTTATTAAGCTGAGGCTCTAAGCTCTAGTGGTCTGTCTAAGCTCTAGTGGTCTGTCTTGATGGTCCCTGGACACTTTGAAGATGTCCCAGGGTACTCACAGTTCTGCCTAGCTCAGAGGTCTCAATCCCCAGATGAACTTTAGGCTCACCTGGTACCAGACACAGGCCCCATGCCAGAGTCAGGCCCAGCTCCTGTCTCACAGTTCTGATTCAATTGATCATATGTAGTGTACTCCTTACTTCTCTTGTTACTTGATAAAATATCTGACAGAAGTAACATAAGAAGGGCTTATTTTGGCAGAGTATGAGGGTGCAGTCCATCATGGTGAGGAAGGCACGGTGGCGGGGGTGGTTCTAGTGAGGTGGAAGTAAGTGTAAGATGGCTGGTCACATGCATTCACAGTCAAGAAGCAGAGAGATGACTGCTGGCGCTCAGCTTGCTTCCTCCTTTCCCTCTCTCTAGTCAGTCTGGGCCTCCAGTCCATGGGATGGTGCCTCCCACATTAAGGGTTAAATCTCCTGGGAAACATCCTCACAAACATGCCTAGAGGTGTATGTCCTAGAGGACTCCCAAAGCCAGTCAATGAAGATATCATAGATATCTTTATTAATTTTTTTTTTTTGGTCTTTTTGAGACAGGGTCTCCCGGTTGCCCCAGCTGACCTGTAACTCGATATATAGACCAGGCTGGCCTTGAACTCACAGAGATCTGCTGGCCTCTGCCTCCTGATTGCTTGGATTAAAGGCCTGTGCCACCATGCCTGACTTTAATTGTTTTGTTTTCTATTTTTTCAGGCAAGGTCTCTCTCTGGAACCTGTCCTTGAACTTAAAATTCTCCTGCCTTAGCCCCCCGGAGTGCTGGGATTGTAGGCATACACCACCATTGCTGGTCTATAGAGTTCTGTGTGTCACTGGGATATCTCTTGCTAGACTTAGGATGCACTGCTAGTTTAACAAAGTATTTTCCAAATTACCATATGCATGCAAATCACTTGGAGATCTTGTTAAAAAGCAGAATCAGTGGGTCTGGGGTGAGGTCAGTGCTCCAGGTCTGGAATCCACATTAGAGCAGCCTGGGCCTAATAAACTCATTTCTTCGTCCTGTGTCTTCCATGGGTTCATGCATCTGCTTGTTTATTTTCACCCCTCCGTTCATTCACACCCTAGCTCCCCCTCCCTCTTTGTCTACTCTTGCTTTGTACCTCAGCAGTGGGGTGGTCACCTGCAGACAGGTGATACTCTCCCCGCCAGCCAACAGCTACCCTTCACCTGTTGGAAAGGCCGTGACTAGCTTTTCATACTGGGGAGTGAAATGCCGTCTTGAAATGGCAGCCGCAGGGACTCAGGAGCAGCCCTGTCCTCCTGAGTTTCTCTATGGGCATGGCTGACTTTTCCGAGGTTTGCACAGAGCTGTCCTTGGGGTCCAAGTAGCCTTTTTGGCCTTGAGAACCCTTGTCTGCCTGTGCTCCAGCAGCTTGCTGGAAGCTATGTACTTGGGGTGCAGGCTTTGCCCTGAGGCTACAGATTCCCCTGTGCAGGAGTTATGGCCTGTGCTGGATAGCTTTAGTGTCAACTTGACACACCTGGGTTGAGGGAGCCTCAACTGGGGAATTGCCTTCATTGGACTGACCTGTGGCCATGTCCAAGGGGCATCTTCTTGATTGTTGAGTGATGTGGGAACGCCCAGCCCACTGTGGGTGGTGCCCTCTGGGCAGGTGGGCCTGTGTCGCATATGAAAGCAGGTTGAGCAGGGGCCAGGGGAGCAAGCGAGTAAGCAGCATTCCTCCATGGCCTGTGCTCCAGCTCCTGCCTCCAGGTTCCTGCCCTGAGTTCCTGCCTTGGGTTCCCTGATGAACTGTGCCCTGGGAGATGTAAGATAAATAAACCATTTCCTCCCCAAGTTGGTAGTGGTCAGAGTGTTTAGTCACAGCAATGAGGAAACAAACTAGGATGTAGCCACATAGCCCTTTGGCAAAGGCAGAAAGGCCTCTTTGGAACAGTGGTCTTCAGCCTTGTCTGCACATTATGATCACCTTAGGGAACTTTGAAAAGTACTATCACCTGGGCTACAGGAAAATGAGGAGATGGACACATGCAGAGTCCTGGGGTGAGCCTGGTGCTGAGCTGTTGCTCTGTCCCATCCTTTCACCGCCACACACCACATTACTCAATGCCTAGAATGATGTCCCAGCAGCAGGGAGGTCTGCCTGGATAGAGTAGCCCTGGATACTCCACAGGGTCCCTTCAGCAGGGCCACACCAGCATGTTGAAGCCCAAGGGAAAGGAAGCATCTGCCACACTCATCCTGTCTCTAAAGCCTTGTGATCTTGTTCATGGTGGATTTTTGGCTTTAATTTTAAAAGGATATTATGGGGCATTGTGATGCCCACCTGTAATCCTAGCATTCTGGATAGTGAGTTTGAGGTTAGCCCAAGCTACATAGCAAAAACCTGTCTCAAAAAGAACAACAAAACAAAAATAAGAACACCCCCTTACCCATCCATGTTGCACTGACCTGTTACTGAATTCTTTCACATCCCAGCATTGACTCTAGGCAGGGCCTCTGACACTGGACTCTGTTGAAGTTCTTATGGGCACCTTGAGTTTTAAATGTTCCAAAAAAGGTGTTGTTCACACAAACACAAGAATTCTAACATATAAGAAGCAGAGCTGCTAGAACTGGAGGTGGGGGTGTAGCCCCTGCCTCAACATCCTGGGCCTTTGCAACTCCCTAGAGAGCTCGAGGGTCTGAACATAACAACTGAGACCTGTGAGGACCATACCCTGCGTTTTATTGCCAGAGAAATGGAGTATCTAGAGCAGGAGGGAGGGAGGGAGGGAGGGAGGAAAGAAGAAAGGAAGAAAGGCCATCCTCTTCAGGCCTAGGTACTCCCACATGGCTGACTTCAGGGTACTAACATGATGTTACTACTATACAGTTGGGAAGAAATGCACAGTCACTTTTGGGAGCCAGTTTGAGCTGGATCCAGAGAGAGTGACAGCAGAGCTGGTTTTTCTATGGTCAAATGGCTCCCAGCCCTGGGCTCTGCCCAGTAGCCCCGGCTCGAGGGCCTCATCACAATCATTCTGGACCTTTCTTTCAGCATCAAGGATCTTCTTCTTCGTGACAGGCAGTTTTGTGGGACCGTGTATGGATTTTGTGGCGCCCGCCAGGGTGGGCGCTTCTGTTTGCCAGAGTCATGCTCACGGCCTTCAAGTGCTAGGTGAAGCCCACCCTTCAACCCCTCATCCCTGGACAAGGCCACAGTGAAGAAAGAGGAGAGGCCTCTTTCACCCCAGCAGGGGACTCATAGAAGGAAGTAGTAAATGCAGCCTGGGAAGTGTGCACAGGTAGGCTTTTATTACTAAATACTATGATATACAAAATGTATAATTGAATAACAGCTAAAAAAATAGTCCAAGAAATATGAAATAACATATTTTTGAAATGATAAAAATGTAACCATGAACATACAGAGGAGAGGCCTCTTTCACCCCAGCAGGGGACTCATAGAAGGAAGTAGTAAATGCAGCCTGGGAAGTGTGCACAGGTAGGCTTTTATTACTAAATACTATGATATACAAAATGTATAATTGAATAACAGCTAAAAAAATAGTCCAAGAAATATGAAATAACATATTTTTGAAATGATAAAAATGTAACCATGAACATACAAAATGTTGCATATATATATACACAATATATA